TCGATTAGCCCAGTTTTTTTTTCTTCATTTATATCACTTCTTGTTGTTGTATGCAACAGCATGAGTTGATAATCAGTTGCTAGCTAGGCAGAGTATTCAAAGAGAACTTCTTTCTGGTGAACATTTATGGAAAGAATTCATCCATGAAACTATGAGATTAAGAGTAAGCAAGTATTTCATCTAAATTTCTATGTTTTAATATGTTAATGTCAACGGATTTAAAGTTAGTCATTAAAAAGTATCTAATCTAATTGTAACACTAGTTCTCAAATGGAATTGTGACGTGTGTTTTTTTTTCTATTGAAGTTGGATAGTAAGTAGTAGTGACATTTAAACAGATATGTTTTTCATTCTATTTAGAAATTGTTACATGAATAATAAATCTTCCAGTTGAAGAGGAAATTTAGGGAAAAACTTTAGAAATGGATAAGACATACATTGTGGAAATCATGAAACTACATCATAAGGTAAGATTTAACTTGGAATTCTGAAAGGTAACGGAAAAAATAAAGGAAGAACAAGAAGAACACATTATGTCAGGAATCGAAAGTAGACATTAAAAGAATGATTAGTAACTGGAAAAGATTGTCTAGGAGAGAGTGGAATAGAGAACATTAGTGGTTGGCCTATGCTCCTCAATGACGGGTTACAGACACGGGTAATTAAATGATATGATGATTTACTCATTATGAGTTTTATTCAACACTACTTCCCTTCTAATTCAATGTGATGATCATTCAGTGTAGTATTTGATTTGTTTTCCCAGTACGATACTTTCTTCTGTATAATAAACGATATTCTCGTATTCAGTTGACATGAACTATACTCAGTAAGTGATTTGTTATAACTGAGTATGTGATGTAATCCTAATAATTAATCAAAATGGATGTACAATCAATATATAAATGATTGTATTTTAGGCTATTTTGATTCGTTGTCGTCATAGTGTTTCGGGGCTAATAAATCATCACTTATACCAGTCTTTGATCCCGGCGGAGGAAGAAATCAGGAAGAAGCACTTGAAGTGGATAGGACACACATTGAGGAAAGCACCCAACTGCATCATAAGACAAGCCCTTACATGGAATCCTCAAGGCCAAAAGAAAAGAGGAAGACCAAAGAACACATTACGCTGGGAAATGGAAATAGACATGAGAAAAATGAACAAGAATTGGATGGAATTAGAAAGGAAGGCCCAGGACAGAGTGGGTTGGAGAATACTGGTCGGCGGCCTATGTTCCATTAGGAGTAACAGGTTTATGTAAATAATTAAGTATACTAGTCTTTGTGTTCTTACTTTCGCATCATGGGAATTGCAGAGGTCCCTTATTCCAAGTATAAGTGATCAGCGCTTTTCCGGCACAGCAATCAGCGACCACCGAATATAACATTAAGTAAGTCAATAAATATACATGCCCATTAGTGTTAATGTTCACACTCAAACTCATAGTCATCAATATCTTTCTCTCCCTTTCTATTAATTATTCGAATGAAACTAAAATCACTTATTTGAGTATATATTCTAAAGATTAATTTAATTGCTAAAGTGCTATTTCTGTAAGACTATAATTTATGGATGATTTTTTGAGCAATGCCAGGCTAACCATGAGAGTCTTCACCTAATGACTACGATCAAATAAGGGTTAGAAATCAATGTAAGAAATTAGATTCAGAATTTTTATCATCAACTGACATAAACTATAATGCTAAAACTCTATTTATCTAAGTGAATAAATGAATTTTGCGCCAAAATAAAAAAAAACCCATTATCTTAAATCTGATTGGTTCATTCATCAATTCTAGTCTTCCCGCCATGTCTTCATAACTCATTTGACAATTCCACTGTATTATTTATGGAATAACCCATTTTATAGGGAAAAACAATGAAAGAGAGAGAGAGAGTGGGGGGGTGAGAGTAGGAGACACACACACACAGAGACAAAGAATAAAAAAATATTTTTCTCCATAACGGTTTACACTTTTTGTTCTTTTGCAGAAAAAAAACAACAACAGAAGAAAGAAACTAATTTCAAAGAATAAAACGTGACATTTAACAATTTTAAAAAGTAATAAATTATTTCTTTCGAGGTATATGAATAAATTTATAGGCTTTGAAGTGAACTTATCCAAATTGGGACCTTTAATTTCATAAGCTTGGTAACTATATGGATCGATGAGAATGTCTGTGGATTCAATTCTACATGAGGTCGATTTAAATCTTATCGAAGACATCAGGGTGAGACGACCATTGAGAAACGCTAGATTAACCTTGAGATTGTATACTTAGTAACAAGGATCAAATGAATGTTACAAACCAGGGTGAAGAATCTAAATTATGATTTATAGTTGATGGTTAAGGTCAGAAATCAGATTTCGCACCGAAATCTAAGATTTGTTATCTTATACGTGTTTGGTTCTTCTATAAATTATATTCTTGTCGACATCAGTTTATACAAGAATATAGGTATATTTTTCTGATGACTGGAAACTAAAGTAAAATTGAAGTCAATAAAGTGTTTTTTCACTGATTGTATTCAATTGCTTAATAATAGATAAATATGAATTGTCACAGTTGAAATCAATAACTGATCATAGCTAGACTAAATTGAAATCTGAAATCAATGATGGCCATTTTGTTCTAGTATGAGACTTATCAGAAATGCGTATGGACAACCATGAAATCGGGAATCGGACACAGAAATTTCAATTTTGTGCGCCAAAGTTTAATCTCTAGACCAGTAAGCTGGCATTCATTGGTGTTAATATCTAAATTCAATCAATTCATTATCTTATTCAACCCTTCAAAGATTCCTTGCAGTGAACAACTATTTCACACCAAACATGTATTGAACTCCACTAGTTACGGTTTCTCACTAGTGAGCACATGGTTGTTATTAGTATAAGGAACTTGTGGAGATTATAGTATTTTCATAGTTGAAGTCAGAAGAAGGTTCTCGCTTGTGTAGTCATGTGCGCACACTGCTGAGAATTCCCACACTGAAACGAGGTTTTCAATGTTGGTTTGGCTATGATCAGTCCGTGATTCTGAAGTGCAAAATACTACAACCTCCACAAATTCTCTATACTAATAAATGCATATATATATATATATATGTTTGGAAGAAGTGAGGTGCTTGGGGAACATGGACTCAGTCTCATTGGAGTTGTTAAGGAATTCAGTGTGGATTAACTGTTATTCATCTTGTGAAGAAGAAGAAGAACTTACAGTGTCAATTTAACGAATACGTGAACTGAACGATCAAAGTTCGATTAATTTGACCGTAGTTGGATGCCTATATGCTGCTGATGATTAACTAAAGCTGCACAGTTTTTAACTACAATCATTACACTAGGTTATCATTCGTACACATCAAACTTAGTCAATTGTAAATTCTTCTTGTTCCTAGAATGATCAATCAAGTGAGATTAACACTTGAACGATGTATAAATCATAAAATTTTAAAATGATATTTCATAGAAAAGCATGATATCTGAGAATTTCTGGGAAATTTTCGAACAATAAGGTTAGACATTAACACCGTTGAATGCCGACTCATTGGTCTAATGTTTAAGCGCTCGCGCGCAAGACTGATAGGTCCTGCGTTCGAAACTCGCAGGGGTCGGGATCGTGAATGCGCACTACTGAGGAGTCCCATACTGGGAATTAATATCAGAATAAGGATTTGTGTAGATTGTAATAAGTTTAATAGTTGAATACATGAACTGATCTAAACTAGGTCAATCCCACACACTGGACCCGAACAAACGACCTTCGATCTCGCGCGCGAATACTTAAGCTCCAGACCATTAAGCTCACTACTGACGAATACCATATTAGGATGAAATGACCATCCAATAGTGGTCCAATTTAGATTGACTCATGAATTCAACTGCTACAATTAATACTTATCAGGATTAGTATGTTATTTCATATATAAAAGATGTAAAAAGAACTTCGTAAAGACAAAAAGTGAATACATCAGCATCATTGTGATTGATTTTGAAATATGTCACCCAATGTTTCTAAGGATTCATCACGATAATCAACCATACGAAAATTAGGATTTTTCATCTACCAATATTACTCAATCCAAAAGCCAACAACTTCCTGAACTAATGCTATACTTTGGTTTGATAGCCCTTAGCTTTGTTCTTAAGTGCTTCAGTGAACATCTCTCTTCGAAATTAGGTCAGGGTTAAGGATAAGTAATAAATATCTTAGCCAATTCAGTAAATGAAGATTTATTTTCTTAACCTAGTTGTCATATATTATAACTTATCCCACAAGCAATCACTCAGTGAACCCAACACATACAGACAAACCTTCTAAAACACCTAAGGCCAAGTAATAGTAACTTACGAATATCCTCAACTGCTGAAGGCCATTTTTCAATCATAACGTGAGACTGAACGAGCTCATTAGCAGTGTAATTCTTCTTCCACTTAGAATAAGAACCTTTTATCTATTCCGTAAATGACATAATTTGGCAACATCTAACCAAATTCGTGCTGAGATTTTGTCGGACACCAACCAACCATCGTTGATTAGATTTCCAATAAAAGTGAATTGGTCGATGAGCTTAACTAATTCACTCCTTATCAGTAGCTAAGACTGTCTTAAAGCAAAATTGTGTACCTTGAAGAAGAATAACATATCTGAAACTCAAAGAAATTAAATGATACTAGATTTTATCAAAAGACTCGGTAGCTTAGAGAAGATAACGCTATGGCGTTTAAAGCGAACGTTAATGGATTCAAGTTCCTAACCTGAGTGAAGATCAACTCTGAGATGTAGGTACATCCAGCTGACGAGTCCCAAATAGGACGAAACCGGAGTCCTGGATTCTACTGTTAGATTTTGTCAAAGTCTTCACCAAATAAATTACTTCATTTAATAAACCTATTGTTATCTACAATTCATTCATCTTATAAACCATTAAATGATTCCTCTCATTAAAACTTTAATAAACTCATTACTATAAATAACAGTAGTGACTTACTTTTATATTACTAAATGAATCCATTTTGCATATATCATATACAAGTAGTACAGCTGAATAATATTGAAAAAATAACAATAAATTAGTTTGTACTATGTGAATGATCATTACTTAGAAGAAAAAGGAGTAAAGATAATGTAATCCGACAAGAGTTTTGTGGAAATTATAGTAATTTAATGTGATTGAATTTATGAGTCAATTGAAGTTAGACCATCATGAAAAACCTGGAAGCACTGGATGACCGTTTCATTGTAGTATGGAACTCCTCAGCAGTATGCATCAACGATTCCGCCTCGAGAGATTCGAACTCAGAATGAAACGGTTGTCAAGTGCTTCCAGGTTTTCCTAGTAGTAGTGTAGGTTCAATTGACTAATCAATTCAAATTAAAGTATAATGTACCTATTTTAAACTTACTTTTCCACTCTGTCAATATCTATTACTGCGATTAGAATGTAACCTTCATTGAAGATGATATTTTAAATCCAAATTTCACTAATCACCAATACATGTATGTATCAGAATGGGTTTTGTGGAGTTTTAGAAATTTCACAGGTGAAATCATGATCAGTTGAAGCTAGACCACCATTGAAACCTGGAAGCACTGGATGACCGTTTCATTGTAGTATGGAACTCCTCAGCAGTATGCATCAACGATTCCGCCTCGAGAGATTCGAACTCAGAATGAAACGGTTGTCAAGTGCTTCCAGGTTTTCCATAGTAGTAGTGTAGGTTCAATTGACTAATCAATTCAATAATTAAAGTATAATGTACCTAATATTTTAAACTTACTTTTCCACTCTGTCAATATTCTATTACTGCGTATTAGAATGTAACCTTCATTGAAGATGATATTTTAAATCCAAAATTTCACTAAATCACCAATACATGTATAGTATCAGAATGGGTTTTGTGGAGAGTTTTAGAAATTTCACAGGTTGAAATCATGAGTCAGTTGAAGCTAGACCACCATTGAAAACCTGGAAGCACTGGACGGCCGTTTCGTCCTGGTATGGGACTCCTCAGCAGTGCGCATCCACGATCCCGCACCACACGGGGCTCGAACTCAGGACCTACTGGCTTCGCGCGCGAGCACAATTATTGATGAATGAAAATGCTAAAAATGGAATCTTTATTGTTCCATTCAGTCGATAAATGAACAACCAACTATTCAAAAGTACTGTCGATGAGACTATACTTTATGGACGACCTTTCAGCGACGCTAGACTGATCTTGATAGTGCCCACTTAATAACCAAGACCGAATGGGGGTTGTAAACCTGTGTGAGGAATTATAATTATCATTTACAGTTGATGGTTAGTGTCTTAGAAATTAGATTCGATGGGTTTTCATTCTGAACTGACATCACTTATAATGCCAAAACTCTATTTATTCAAATGGATGAATGAATTTCGCGCCAAAATTCGAGACCTATTCTCTTATACCTGATTTATATTCATCTATAAATTATAATCTTGCCATTAAATTATTACTTACCATTAGTATCACGATAATATGATTTTGTTAAACTACGAAATTTCTCTTGTCCAGCTGTATCCCATATTTGTAAACGAACTAATTGATCATTAGCTTTTACTGTTTTTGTCTATAAAACATAGAAATAAACTATTTAATATAAGTGATAAGAAGTTTAGGTTATATTAAAGTTGATTAGTAGCTATTTCATTTTCATTTTTTAAAAAACTTGTGATTGAATGGTACTATACAAGTAATCTATTCAGAATGTATATATGTCCATGGAGATATGTATTATTTATTGATTTTAACACATAGATATTGGTACAAGGAGGCATCAAATACATATGCGCCACACAAATCTCATTTGATATGTATGAGGGCTGTGATACTGACCGGGTGCCCAAACCGAACCAGGTGGTTTACTTAGGGAGCCACACTCCGAGCCTTTGACCTAAAGGTCTGATCCACAAGGCAGTGGAGCAACGTAAGGAGATGCATTCCCAAGGTAGCCGGTGACCAACGATCGGTTCATACGCCATTTGTTCCTTTAGGATACTGGTGCCCATGTGCACCGCTGGTTTTGAATCTAGGTTATCCAACTCCCCTAGATAGACTCTCCACTGACCCGGTTAAACTGCCAGACATTCGCTTTTCGTCCTCTCAATTTCGTAAACAACACCCCCACAGTGAGTAGGAATTCCTTGGCAGAGGCTATATACGCGTAGCCATTTGAGAGCATTTGGAGAGGGAGAGCTGACTCTCCTCACTCTCGGCCGTACCAGGGCATTTGAGGGCCCGCCTTCCATGGAGATAGATTCAATGCAAACCATAACAAGCTAAACATGTATCGAATAATGCGATTTTTTCGCTTGAAACCACCCCTCTAATATATATGTATTACAAATGTTGTTATTGTATAAAACATATGAATGGTACTTAGCACCTATTGCATATAGCAACTGAATACATCCAATTATAGATTTTATGTAAATGTGAAGAATGAAACTATTTTGAGTAACTATGTCTTATCTCCTTCTTTGGTAGACATGTAAAAATCTTCTTGGAATCATTAGTGATGTAAATAAACTAACGTGAAACATGTGATTGCTTTATAAAGAATGATCGGTTATGAGATGACGAGAAACAATGAAAGAGGATGGATGTACCAGACTGTCCACCTCATTGGAGAGTTTCTGCTGCTCAGTGGTATATTAAATAACACCTGTGTTAGTGCTCCTTGATTTTCACTGATTAAGGGGTGTACAGCATAAAATAATTTCCACAAAACCAAATCATTTAAATTAATTATTCAACTCATTCTGATTCCAAGCACCTCCAGGTTGTATCTCCTCATTTCTGCGGCAATTCGGAAGACATTTCCGGTCTCCCTATTCTGCGAGCATTACATGTACCTAAATTAATGGTTGCTCTAGTTGTCAGAAGGGACATCAGCCTCGTGACTTCTGAAGGAACTTGGCTTTCACCATGAGGCATCATAACTCTTCAAAATGAAATCTTCTAACTACCAGTGCGGAATTTAAATGGCTTGAATTATTTTTTTCTGGTTAGCGTTTTTTAGCGAGTTAGTTTTCTACAGGATGGGGTCGCTAACCCCATGCCCAACCCTCCTCCTTTATCCAGGCTTGAATTATGCAGTAGCTCTAGAGGGGCTCAATTTGAAATAAGTTCCTAAAATTATAATAGCAAGTTATGAGTAGTGGATTTTAGTCGTGCTAGAAATAAAACAGTTATTATGGAAAACCTGGAAGAACTGGACGGCTATTTCGTCCTGCTATGGGACTCCTCAGCAGTCGTGGACACGCACTGCTGAGGAGTCCCATAGCAGGACGAAATAGCCGTCCAGTTCTCCCAGGTTTTCCATGGTGGTCTAGCTTCAATTAACTCATGATTTCAACCAATGAAAACAGTTATTACCAATAACAATTAGATAATCTTTAAGTTATGCTGTAAATCATTTGAAGTTAGAATTTTACCACTGAACGCTGACTCAATAATTCTAATATCTAAGTATTCGCTATGTAAGTTGAATTTTAAGGGTTCTGTTAATAAAGAGGTTGTGAATGCCCACCATGAAGGAGTCATATACCAGGATGAAGCATCTGCTTATCGATCTGTAACGTTGTTTCTTGAATTCAATGTTAGTAATTAGTTTTTATAAAAAAAATAGAGTTAACTTATCAATATAGATATCCGCTCAAAGAGGATCAATCAAGGGGTGAACCACAAAGTTGAATTCACAAGTTAATCTAATCTAGACTATTATTAAAAAGTTTGAAGCAGTGAATAAATGTTTCGTCTTAGTATGGAACTTCTCAATGCTTCTAAGTTTTCAATAGTTATCTTAACTTCGATGAACTCGTGAATCTAACTTTGAAATTTTATGATTCAATGTCTGGCTGATTTCAATTGGCTTATGCTATAAAAGAAAATTGTAATAATTATGATATCAAAGGATATTTATAGTGTTGGTTACTATATTAAGCCTACACAACTTATTCTCGCTTTTGGATCGGCCAATTTATCGATTCTTCTTGAATCACGTTCTGACCTTGTTAATCTTGACTGAGTGTATATATATATATGTGTACATCTTACCCTACGTTTACGTGCTTTCTCCATTACGCACTATATTGTTTCGTTCTCTTGTCTTCGCTTCCTTCGCTATGTCTCTTTGATTGTATTGTTCCGATCAACGATTGTACAAAATATATATCTTTAAATATCCATTCTCGTATTTTCACGACTAATTTAATTCCGTTATACACTCAGTCAGCAACAACGTAGAACTTCGTACGTACGTACATTAGTTCAAGTTGCCATACCACATTACCATAGAGATACAATTGTCGATTCAAATCCCATAGTGGTAGAGGTAGTAAAAATATAAGCAGTAATCGGAAAGATTATGGTTTGAAGATGTTATTCAAGGAGTATAATACAGTGAAATAAATTTCGAAAGAGAAAAGAATGGACACAAAGAATTCAGAAGATTAGAATTTGGGAGAACACAAAGAGTGGATGCACCTGTGCCACTGAAAACAATTTTAAGCCATGTCATTCAATATCTCTAACCATCGGTTGCTATCATCTCACGGATCCCAATCAGGTAGTCTACAGCTGCCAACATGGCTCAATCCATATGTCAGTGGCTAATGCGATTTTAGTCGATGATAATGTACAAGCATTGGCAACATATATATTGTCATAGTAACCATTCATATAATCAAACTAGAATTAGATACCGGGTCACAAAATTGTTTTGTGTCAACAATTTGAAGAAAAAAATATATATATATGATTTCACATGTGTGTTGTATTGATAGGATAAACAATTATAAATTAACATGTAACAATCAATGTGACAACTTAATGGACTATCATTTTCTACTGTTTACTGACTTCTTTTTATGATGGTGATGATGAGATTTCTATGAATTTCGCCTAGTTTGCCTGTTCGTTTGTTTTTTTTTGCAGAAGGGGGGGATGGTGGTGGAGAAGGGTTGTATTTAGTCAACTGAGAGTTTTTTATGATCAGATATTAATGGATCAGATTAAATGATGATACATTGATCAACTGGTTATGTTTATTCTCATGAGATTATGTTGCTCAATATAAGTCTGTTATAAATTGAAATTGATTATTACTTCTATATAGTACAATGTATGCATACAGCATTAAATGTAATTGTATCTAGATAATAATAATGTCAAGGCAGTCCTAATGTATGAGGTGGAAACAGTTGTCTACGCGAAATATTTCGGATCCATTGGTCAGACATTATTAGCAACAACCTACTGTAGGAGAGAACAAACCAGATTCCAACAGAGGAAGTAATTAGGAAGAAGCACTGGAAGTGGATAGAACATACATTGAGAAAAACAGTCAACTGTGTCACAAGTGAAGCTCTCATTTGAAATTCTCAAAAGCAAAGAAAGAGAGGAAGACCAAAGAATATATGACGTCGAGAAATGGAGACAGACATGAAAAGAATGAACAACAGTTGAATAGAACTAAAAAGAAAGGCCCAGGATAGAGTGGGTTATAGAATGTTCGATTGGGAGTAACATGAGTAAACAAGTAAGTAAGTAATAATGATAAATGTTTATGAAAGCACATAGTTTATTAATAATTGTATGTTCATTATGGACTTTCGTTGTGGGCGAAGAGAAGGAGAGTTTTTGAAGTTCTACTTTACAGTTATGAATATTGATGGAGTCAATCACAACACACATGACATTTCATGACAACTGTTGAATATTTACTTCTTTAACACATATAGACCCATTTTAAAACAGTAATCATGACAATAAAATAAATTGAACTTCTTTACCTTATAATCAATTCCAACAGTTGAAATATAACTACCTTTTATGAATATACCATCTTTAAAACGGATTAATAATGAAGTTTTGCCAACACATGAATCACCGATAAGAAGTAACTAAAATGTCAACAAAATAATGGAAAGAAAAAACAAACAAAGAATATAATTGTTTGGATCAAAGTTAGTCAATTATCAAATCAAACTCACTTGGTATTATTGTTTACTTGGATCTTACTATTGAGGTTTAACACTACAATTGATCAATCTCTTATTTGTATGTGTGTATCCTGTGCGGACTGCCTCGATATTGTCGTTAATCACAAGCTTTATAAGCAAAGATGGATATTAACTAGTAGGGGAATCCAGAAAGTAATGTACTTGCATCTCAGAGTTGATGTTCATTACGAGATTCGAACTCAATACTGTTCGTTTCAAACGCCATTGCATTATCCACTTGACGAATGAGTCCTCATAGCTACTCACTTGTGGCAATGTGGTGAAGTTTAAATTCACTTGGTATTATTTACTTATATCGTTCCATTGTCATTTGTTAGCATATGTGCATCCTGTGGGGACTGCCTCAATATTACTTTAAGTCACAAGCTAACGAGTCGCAAATAAGACGATACGAGCATCCTGGATTCCACTGCTATCCACTATCCATCATTGTTTTTAACCGACATTTTAAATTAAGATTTTCATAGATTAACTACGCCATCTAGGATACTTAATCTTTAAAATATGTGAATATTATAACAAGTTTTCTATTTATTTCAAGTTTGTTTTAATCAACTAATTCTGTTTATAAACTGGATTATTTGATTATCTGCTTTTGTCATCAAAACAAATATTATCATTCATCTGTGAATATGAATTTATGTTACTATGGGAAATACAAAAAAAAAATACAAAGTGCTGAATGATACTCTTCTGTTCTGTTTATATTTCCATGGCTTTCCATTAGTAAACCCAAATGATGTCTGTTCATGAGAAAGATCACATACAAATCAAATTAATATTCATCAAACAAACCACCTCAAATAAAGAATATTGTGTTTGCTTAATGATAAGCACGAAATTCCTTCGTGGCAGTAGTAGGAGTAGTAGTAACAGTAGCATTAGGAGTCACAAATCGATCAAATAGAAAACGGTCAAACTGTTTTACTGATTAAACTTCCTCTATGGTACCTGAAGTTCCTGAGTCAAACCCTTGACAGATTTGTTGCATAAGTATTGACCAAGAGTTATATACTAGAATGAATAACTGTCCAGTACTTCATGACTTTCAATAATACCTCAAGTTGGATCAGTATTTGACTAAAACAACCGGCGAGACTATAATTTATAAACGAACCAATCAGATGTAAGATAATAATGGCACGAAATTCACTTATCCATTTAGATAAATAGAGTTTTGGCATTATAGCTTATGTCAGTTCGGGATGAAAACCCCCTAAATCTAATTGCTAACCTCTTCAATAAGATTTGGGATAAGGAAGAAGTACCAACAGACTGGAAAGAAGGACTTCTGGTCAAAATACCGAAGAAAGGCGATCTCAGCAACTGTGATAACTACAGGGGCATCACTCTTCTCTCAATACCGGGAAAAGTCTTCAACAGGGTATTGTTAAACAGGATGAAGGACTGCGTAGACGCCCAACTTCGTGACCAACAGGCAGGATTCCGTAAGGATAGATCGTGTACAGACCAAATCGCAACTCTACGGATCATTGTGGAACAATCAATTGAATGGAATTCATCACTCTACATCAACTTCATTGACTACGAAAAGGCATTTGATAGCGTGGACAGAACAACACTATGGAAACTTCTTCGACACTACGGCGTGCCTCAGAAAATAGTCAATATCATACAAAATTCCTATGATGGATTAAACTGCAAAATTGTGCATGGAGGACAGTTGACAAACTCGTTCGAGGTAAAGACCGGTGTCAGGCAAGGTTGCTTACTCTCACCCTTTCTCTTTCTCCTGGTGATCGACTGGATCATGAAGACATCAACGTCTGAAGGGAAGCACGGGATACAATGGACATCTAGGATGCAGTTGGACGATCTGGACTTCGCAAATGATCTGGCCCTTCTATCCCAAACGCAACAACAGATGCAGGAGAAGACGACCAGTGTGGCAGCAGCCTCAGCAGCAGTAGGTCTCAATATACACAAAGGGAAAAGCAGGATTCTCCGATACAACACAGAATGCACCAATCCAATCACAATTGACGGAGAAGATTTGGAAGATGTAAAAACCTTTACATATTTGGGCAGCATCATTGATGAACAAGGTGGATCTGATGCAGATGTGAAGGCGCGGATCGGCAAAGCAAGAGCAGCATATTTACAACTGAGAAACATCTGAAACTCAAAGCAACTGTCAACCAACACCAAGGTCAGGATTTTCAATACAAATGTCAAGACAGTTCTACTGTATGGGGCAGAAACCTGGAGAACTACAAAAGCCATCATCCAGAAAATACAGGTGTTTATCAACAATTGTCTACGCAAAATACCTCAGATCCATTGGCCGGACACTATTAGCAACAACGTACTGTGGGAGAGAACAAACCAGATCCCAGCGGAGGAAGAAATCAGGAAGAAGCGCTGGAAGTGGATAGGACACACATTGAGGAAAGCACCCAACTGCGTCACAAGACAAGCCCTTACATGGAATCCTCAAGGTCAAAGGAAAAGGGGAAGACCAAAGAACACATTACTCCGAGAAATGGAAATAGACATGAGAAAAATGAACAAGAATTGGATGGAACTAGAAAAGAAGGCCCAGGACAGAGTGGGTTGGAGAATGCTGGTCAGCGGCCTATGCTCCATTGGGAGTAACAGGCGTAAGTAAGTAAGTAAGTAACCTGAATCATCAACTGTAAATCATAATATTAATTCCTCACACACTGGTTTATAACCCTCATTCAATCTTAGTTATATTAGATGGACCCTCTCAAAGTTATTTTAGCCTCTCTCTCAAATGTCGTCCATAAATTATAATCTTATTAAATAACCTACAAATTGAATGAATCTCTAGAAAATCTCTTTTCGAAAAAAACAAACTAAACTACTGATAATTCAGAGTAATTTATAACTTGACCTATATTGTTTGTATATATGCATATATATAACTCAGTTTAGTCACTAATAATAAAGTATTAAAGGATATTAATTATCATTTCAACTTGTCAAATTCAATCAACATTCACCTAAAAAAATGAAAAAAAAATTGAAAACGAAAACAAACAAACTACTTAATTGAAGAAAATTTTTTTTAATTTTGTTGTTGTTGTTGTATTAAGTCAGTTGAAGCTAGAAACATGTGCTCACAAGTGACTAGTGTTGAGTCGGCTTTTGGAGAACTTCAACGGAGCCTCCAGAGGCCCAAAAGGAGCCGAAGAGTCCTAGCATGATGGAGCATTCTAGAATTCCAACGTGGCGTGTTACTATTGGTCGGTAGCATATTCTGTCGTTAACGGATTGGCCGAAATATGATGTTGATTTAACAAACTCTAACATCTATAAATACCTATGATTTTCTGTACAAGAACGAACCTTGGAATAAAGTGTTTCTCTCATACCTTGCGTCTTCTCTCTGGTGTTCAGGTTGCTAAGTAGTTCTGGCTTGTGGGTTGCCAGAATAGCTTAGGAAACGAATATAGCGTTCAATCGACAAGACTTATCAACTAGCTTCAAGAAGTATAACCTGGAGTTCTATTGAGAAGTAGTGATCAGTGGACTTCAACCAGGTCTGTTGCAAGATAGTAACTCATTGAAGGCAATGGTGGGCGTGTCGCTCAATTTTGTGGATTAGTTGAAGTTAGACATTAACACCGTTGGATGCCGGCCGGCTCAGTGTTCTAGTGGTTAACTGCTCGCGCGCGAGACTGGTAGATCCTGGGTTCGAATCTCGCAGGTGGCGAGGTCGTTGATGAGAACTGCTGAGGAGTCCAACAGTAGGACGCAAAGGCTATCAAGTGCTTCCAGGTGACCCATATTGGTCTAGCTTCAACTGACCCATGATCTTAACCATTGAAATTTCTATAATATCCACTAAACACATCTTATATTTTATTATTAAAGAATATCCTTTTCTTCTAGTCAATCTATCATTCATCTAATAAATTATTGAATTGAGATTCAGTGTAACTTGAAAATAATAAGCTAAATGGTAAGGAGTAGTTATTTTTTCATAGACAGGGAATTTATGTGAACACTGCCTTCTCGCGGCGAGGAAGTTAATGGACACAAAGAGTTTATCTAAGGGATTTGGAAAACATTGATTCCAAATCAATGGTGCACATAGGCTCCAGTATTCTGAAGGAAAAAATGGCGTATGAACCAATTATTTGTCACTGGTTATCATTGCTTTGTGGATCAGACATTTAGGTTGAATGTTCCGGATGTGGCCCCTCTAAAAGAACTACCTGCTACACTTTGGTCACCTGGGAAGTATCACAACCATCAAACAAATCGAATGATTTATGCAGCGCATATCTATTTTGTGCCTCCTTGTACCAATGTTTATGTGTTTAAATAATAACAATAATAATACTTAGTTTAATCAAAGTTTTACGTTTACAATTTTCAGTGTGTATAAAAGTTACCTTACTTTAAAATATCACGAAAGTTCTAATAATACATTTACATCATAACTCAGTTATCATTTATCGTTTGAAACAGCCCTTAGATGTCCTGAGAATATTATCAGTATTTCAAATCTTACTGGAATCATACGTACAATCAAGTTTTCTAAATTCAGTTTATCAGTTATAGGAATGAATGTATTACAAGTAATAAACAAAGATTTATATCATGTGTATTATTACTGAAATTACACGTTCCTACAGATTCTCAATCATATTGTTTGATAGTGAAAAATCGTTAGTCAGTCAGTAACAACGTAGAACTTCTTACGTATGTACATCAGTTAAAGTTGTCATACCACATTAACACAGAGACACGATTGTCAATTCAAATACCATGATGATAGAGGTAGTAAGAGTATAAGCAGTAATCGGAAAGATTAGGGTTTGAAGATGTTATTCAATGAGTATAATCCAGTGAAAGGAATTTGGAAAGAGAAGATTAGAATTTGGAAG